ATAGTGTAAATGTAAGATATATAGTATAAGATGTAAAAATTTAGTACAAAATATAAAATATCTCAAACTATTTATTTTTCAACTTCACCTAAATATTTTTATTTCTATAAAGCCGCAAAAGCTATTTTTGTACTATATACAAACTCTACTATATTACTGTTTATAATAATCTTATAAAATTATATATATTGCTAATACTTTTTTATTAGAACAACAAAAAGATATGATTTTTTATACGTAGAATGACGGGAGAAATCAATCATTAATATTAATCTTTGCACATTAGTGCATCAAAATGAATTTGCAAAATGCAACGGAATTTTGTTCACGAAACGTTACCATCTTCTTTCTTTTTAAAACCATACATTTTTATTCGACATATTATTTTCTATAATGCCTGTTTTCAAATACTGAAGGTGTGTGTTTAAAATGAGGCACTTTGTATATATAACACAGTAATGATATCTTAAAATGTAGTAATGTTAGACATATTTTATAAAATTTGCTCAGAAAGAAACATTTACATTATGAAATATATTAAATTCGATATATAATTATTCTCCTGAACGTAATGCTTCATACTTGTAAGCTTACGCGTAATCTAGAATAAATTCTGTTCCTAAGAAAGTGTTACATACATAACTCCTATCTATCGACATCCTAATTGCGAATATCGCGATCTTTTAATACGTGAACAATCGCGAGCTCCTGCATTATTTAGTCATCAAGATTATTCCATCGCGTTAATTAATCTTAGCTTTCATTGTCAAAGCTATTTCGATCCATCTTAGTTGTCGCGATTGCCTAATTGAATCTCACAAAGGATGTATACCGCAAGTGACTCGAGTCGCTAAGTCCCTTGCATCTCGAGCTGCGCATTTCAGATGAAGATCGAAAGCCGAGAGGCAGATACATGAACAACTATTTGTACTAAACCGCTAATATTCATCGATTAATTTTCCCAATAAAAACGGATGCAAAACATTGACTATGGCAACACATAAAAAAGTGATTGAAGATATTCGAATATTATGTACCATATCCTGAGTCGAAACTTTTGCTTCTATATGAACCTCGCAAATTACTTCGAATTTGAAGAATCAATAGAAAATTTCAAAATATAACATCATACAGGCTATAGTCTATACTGAGGAAAATGAATTTACTATTTGCACCATTATCGCGTGGTGAAATAAATAATTATTTTTATAAAACCGCAGAAGCTATTTTTATACTATTGTATATACAAACTCTACTATATTACTGTTTATAATAATCTTATAAAATTATATATATATATATATATATATATATATATAGTTAATATTTTATTACTAATATTTTTTGTTAGAACAACAAAAAGATATTATTGAGCCCGAAAATTACTATAATTCGAGGTAAGATTACCTTTTCTTTTTCTCAATATACACACACATACATTGGTATTGAAAAATTCGATAGAATTTAGAGAAAGGACTGAAAAGAAAAAAAAATTGTAAAGTGCACAACGATAATGTTAAACAGCATTAAATATTCAAATCTAGAATTAGTAAAATAACAATTAATTTTTAGAAATAAAAATACTGCATTATACAAGAAAAAAATTCCGTTAGTGTAGCCAAATTTTTTGTTATCTGGAGACCAGACGAAAAACTCTATTGTAACAACAGAAAAATTCCTGTAAGAGAGGTTTCTACTCAGCCAATTGCTCTTGGTTAACTTCATTGAGTTTTAACGCAACTAAATGTTCCGACGAATTTATTGGGTCACAGAGATATTATTCCTCATCAGCGAGTTTTTCGTTTAGTCCTTATTCAGTTATACAAATTGAAACTTTTTCCGTGTAGTAAATTCAAAATATTTCAAACAAATTTTCAAACTATTTTGAAGTTGTTGATTGTCGTGATCTTTCGGGTCTTCAATAGTGCGAAAAAAGACCTACACAGATGTAACCTGGTGTAAACAAATATAGATAACCACTAATTGTTATTTGTAAAAATACCATAAAGAAATAGTCAAATTTGACATTGTTCCGAGAAAGAACATTTTTTATTAAATTATCATTATTGGAATGATGATATAAATACATTTTTGAGATACCCTAAAATATTTTTCAAAAGACTCACAAGAAGCGGAAAGCCAGTAAAAATTACCGCACTGCAGCGAAAATCAAGACTCTAATTTACAGCAAAACAGATTATTGATATTGATACAATGACTCTTACGCAGTCCAGATAAATTAACACTGCGCAAAAAACTCGTTAAAAAAATAAAAACTGTTAACAACACCGAGATTGCTCATCGCAAGTGTACATTACTTTAATCCTTCACACAACCATTTTGGATTTTGTGAAATTTGAACCTCAATTCGGATTCAGCGACTGAGAAACCTCCAGCAAACAAATTTCCAAAAATATTACCAAGAAAAATGTATATCTGGAAGGGTTAAAACCGGCCAATATCTCAACAACGAGATACAAATTCTAATCATCTCCACCGCCGAAATCCGAGGTGGTGACGCGACGCAAAGCGTGGTTGCTTCGGAGGATACCTTTCGGTACCTACCTTCGATTGATCCTTGATCATAACAAGATATCGCACGAACGCATGCACGCAGGCGAGCGTCGATTAGGCGCGCGCCTAATCTCCGCGCTGGACGGTCGCCGGCCCGCCGGAGCGTCGCGGCGTGGCTCGGCGCCGCGCACAGCCGGCCCGTGCGATATTGCGCTAAACCGAGCAATTACCGGCCGTAATCCCGGTAATAGAATTCCAATATGCGTGCCAATTGGACCGAGTCCCCGTGTGCGGGCGTGCAGGCGCGAACCTGCAGGTCGTGCACGCCCGACGAAAGCCGTGACACGGTTCGGCCATTAGCCACGGGCCTCGGTTATCCACGGCTCTCGGCACACGTACACACGGCGGGCGCGTGCACGCATGTGCACGCATGTGCACGTGGCGGCATGGCACGAAAGACCCCCCCATGCATGTTGCGCATACGTGCGCGGCAAGCCGCAATAAGGCGGCCCCGGAGGGGACGCGTGTCTTCCGTCCCTTCCTCTGCGGGAGTATTTTTCTGAATGCACGTATACACCACGTGACGTGGTCACGGTCACTGTTAGCACAGCGCCAAAATTTGCTGATCCAACAAGAAGCGTGATTAGTGCGTATCGAGTGCGGCCACGCCGCCGAATAACGTAGCGATGCAGCGGGATATAGAAGGATCTGTATAGCTGGTGTACTTGAACGCTGATACACACACACACACACACACACACACACACACACACACACACACGCGCGCGCGCGCGCGCGCGTGCGCACACGCACGCACCGCACGCACGCACGCACACAGAGAGAGACTATTGGAATCGGCACTATATCGGCGAGTTCAATTTTCAATGGAGATACGGAGTTCGGCGTGCGATTCGCTGCAGATACGTAAAAATATAACTTCGCGTGTCAATCGTCGCGTTTCATTACGCGTCGCACGCCCATAGCGTTGACAGGCAAATTCGAGTGAATTATACCGTTCGCTATTCATGAAACGAAATACCTCTACCGGGACACGGACGCGTTTTTTCACAATAGATACAATATTGTCAAATAGGTTCAAAGAGTGGGTATACAGAGTTCTTTTTTTTTCAAATAGAAAGCGCAGAAATTAAAAAAAATGAAGCTACACAATTGAAAATTGAATTGAATTGAAACATTGAGCAATATAGGCCCGTTGAAATTTAAATAGAAATATTACACAGTTAATAAGGCGGAACTATTGATTAATGACGTCAACAGCGAAGAAATATATTCTCAAAATTTTTACAAAATATGTTTACATAAAGATATGTACAAAAAGATGACATTTGCAATTAATTATACGTCTCAAAAATATTCCGAACATTTTTCTTTTGCTACAACAATGAATAAATAAACGTAAAATTAACGTGACAAAATAACAAGAAAATATAGATTAAAAAGGATGTTTGCATAGACTGAAACTAGGAGGAAGGTTTAAATCGGTTTTTAATAATAAGTTTTTATAATTTGTTTTTAAAGAAATGAATAGAGATACCAACATAGAATTTTGATTATACTATTTATCATTGTTTCAGATATAAAAAAGTTAATTTAAAAAAATTGAAATTCTATCCAGGTTTCTTATACTGAATACGGTGCTACTAGACATCTCCAACTAGTGAGCAACGTTACAATTCGTGTAATAATCTGAAACAAATGGTACAATTTGAAAATTATATTAAATTTGCTGGAGAATAAACTTTTATTATATGCAAAATTTGAAATTAATTTTAAAATAGCAGCACTTGAAAGTAAAAATTTATTTTTTCTCTCTCTCTCTTTCTATTTTACTTAGTATGCCAAAACAAATATTAATTTTGGAAATTTTTTAAAGAATTTAGATATATTCACTAGCAATTTAAAAGTTTTTAAATTTCTAATCTTATATTTTTTCTCATATTTTTTCAGATTCAATTTTTCAAAATAATTTTTTTATATTTGAAACAATGATAAATGGTATGATTAAAACTCTATGTTGATATCTTTATACATTTATTAAAAAAAAATTCGTGGATTTACCTCTTATTTTTTTGGCTCTCTAAACCAAAATTTATCCTTTTAAAGATTATTTTTCTTCAAATCGCTATTTAAATTTACGTTGTATCCATGACTACAAAAAAAACATGATCGCTCCAAGCATATATATGTTTTAGAAATATGTAAAGCTACTTACGTAGTTTTGAAGCTGGTAAGCGCGATAAAAACGGAAAATCGGAGGGAAGAAAGTGGATGAGGCTGGACATTGAAGTAGCTATCTGGAAGTAGCTATCTGGAGTTTCTCACGCAAAGATGTGGAAAAAAGATGAAGATGGATGGTGCTTCGTCATTGACAGTTGCATTGAGCTTTTGCATTGTAGCGCGAATATGGAAGTGAATGTGGAATTTTACTGTGGATGGAAACAGAGACGGAATCAAAATTACAGCTGTATTATTTAACAATATATTCACACACAACACACATTGTAAAATGCAGAAATATACAACTCCTTCGCTCACATTGCACATCTACATACGAAATAAAATCATTGAAAGATCGCGTCAATTAACCGCAATTCTTATTAAAGAAACATTAGTTACACATGACAGAATATAATTGAAAGGAAAATATATTTACGATCATCGCTCTTTTGTTTCTGGATTCTTGTAAAAGTATTCAGCGAGAGCGACAATCTCAAAAATTGTAGGTGCACATTGCTGGCGAAGTATTTCACGGGAGGAATCCAAATTTGACGAGAGAACGCCGCAATCAGTGCCTTTATCTTATCATGACAGAAACGCACTGCTTCCACTAACATCTAACAGGCACGAAATAAAAGATCAAAACTTCGCGATCGGTGTATGTGTGCGAGTAAGGTTGGAGTATTCCACGGGAGGATATACGAGGAGAACTCGGGCAAGAGGATCCTTTGCCGTTAATTGGACCGGGTCCGATGATGTCGCCGTGCGAATTGTCGGCCACGAAATTACCCCGATATCTTCTCGCGTCGTCCTCGTCGTTTAGAGGCCGCGCGGTACAATCGGACGGCGCTACACGGATTTTCTTTTCCTCGTGGCCCCGCCGAGACGATCTGAGAGAGTCCAATTATCCTGGCGAGACTCGGCGAGACCGACGACGTTACCGTCGGCGCGAAAGCCACAGAGTGGGACGGGAATAAGACGTGAAGAATAATAAAATCGAGCGCCCTCGAGGCGCTCTCGTTCTCTTTCTCCTCTTGCAACGACACGCTCGCGAGCGTTGAAAGTCCGACGCAAATTATCGATTTTATTGGAGCGCGAGATACATTTAACGCCGATTCATTGCGCGATTACATTTAATTGCCTCCAATTAAATCGCCGTTCCAATTAAAATCGACGCGGAGGGTTCATTACGACTTATTGGACCGATGGCAGAGGCCCTTCTTTCCGCTCCCTCTCATTCATGCGCTATCGCGTCATGTATTTACAACTTGAAAGAGTATGCTACCTTCGAAGACTTTTTATCGGTTTTACATATCTTTGCTTTACTTCACACGCTTAATTCTCCACGTTGTGAAATCGATGTGCCTCCTTCTAACGAATACTATAAGTCAATATCAATTTGACATCAATTTCACAATTATATTATTGCATTAGAACGACTTGTATGTAGCAATGTCACAATTACTTGTTTATCTTAATATATTGTAATGATATTTATTTAAAATAATTTCAGTATCTTCAAAACGTATACTATTCCGCAGAAGAATACCATTATAATCCTGCTATAAAGATATTAGCAAAAAACTAATACATTTTATTTAATTTGAAAGTACACCTGTATGAAATTACACGTGGCGAATTGCCCGTGTATATAATCTCGAAGATAAAGGAAGAGTTCTTACGAAGTAATCGTCCACAGATCTCCACAAAATATGCATGTAGACAAGGAAGCATTCACTGACTAGTCGGTGTCGAACCGCCGCTATCGTATTGACTTTTATTTCTCAGTAAATAACCAGCGAGGAAGCTTATGGGATCAGCGGGCCTCTCCTTGGCTAGGCAGGATAATGCTTGCAATAGTATCGGCACTACAGTCTGATCCAAATACTGTCTAGTTGGGAGAGATTGCACTTCAACTCGAGCTTTCTTTGGCGCCGGTGGTATGCCGGAGATGTCACCATCCTTATCCATTCCTACTACTTTCTGTCAACAACAAGAACATAGCACTTTTAATAAATAAGATTTGCAGGCAAACTTAGTAGTTAAGAAGCCATTCATTGCGCTATGCATCCTGTCTTCTTTTTATATGGAACACATTGATTGCTTTTGATAGCTTTAATTAATATTGCTTTTGATAGCTTTAATTTTGATTAGACTGGTTTAATAACGATATCCAAGTAAGGCCATTGACTGCGTTCAGCAGAAAAAGCTGCTTTACAACTGTTATAAAATTTGTGGCATGATTGATGCATGCTCTTAATCTTGGCTGAATTTAAGAATCAATCAGATTCACGAATTTTACAACAATTACAAAGTAATTTTCTCTGCTGAATGCAGCCATTAAGATACTTTAAGGTATGTTAACACAGCTTTAAGATACATAGAGTAATCTAGTTCACTGTAGTAAATTATAATAAGTACTTTCCATTTGGTAACATAAATCGACACAAGCATCATTTTATCTTTGTTTCATATTCAGTGATTAACAAGAATAGAATAATGCTTGTATCGACTTGTATCACTAAATGGAAAATACTGATTGAATCTAAGAGCATATACCAGTCAGATTCACAAATTTGACAACAGTTGCAAAACAGTTGTCTCTGCTGAACGCAGCCATTAGCTTACATAGAAAAATCCAATTCGCCGCTATGAACTACAGTGAATGCTTTACATTTAGTAACATAAGCATCATTTAGCCGATATAAGCATCATTCTGTCTTTGTTTCATATTCAGATTAAACAGAATGGTGCCTGTGTCGACTTGTGTGACTAAGTCAAATGCATTCATTGTTGACCTAGTGAAGCCTTAGTACTATTATGAAACTCTTATCTACGTCACCTATACGTTACATCATAAATTAATTCAGAAGCGTTAAATTGGCTCGATCGTTAAACACGCATAACCTTGCAAGCGACTGATAGTTTTAGTGTCAGTTGTTTTTCAGCCAGCAAATGCCAGGTAACGCAGCACGAACGAAGCGCGCTCTAACCTAACTTTCGAAGCTGCAATCGCGTGCATTCCACTCGTGTTCAATTCAGCGGACTCACTCTGTACGTGTCGAATTGGACGAAATATCGTTGCTCGCGAGTCAACCGCCGCGTGACATATTTTAGGTTATATATTTACTTACGTGCGTTGCTTCAGACACAACATTGGAAATGGGTTGAGCAGGGGTCGTCGTTTCGGTCCGTTCCTCGGTCACGTTCTCTGTCATTAGAAAGAAGGGAGAAGGTGAACGGTCATTATTAAAGCGAAATTCCGAAGGCCGGGTCTGGTCGCACGGCAACCAGACCGCGTGCGATTACATGAAAAAGAGAAATTGACGGGCACGTACCACTGCCGGCCGCCATGGTGTAAACAACCGTCGCTACCAACCGACTGCTCCGGACTGTCACGCCGTACTGTGTCGCTCGCGCGCACAAGACGCGGGAACTCGTGCCACGCGGTCAAACGCCGCACGCTGCGGCAGACTCTCCCGTTTTGCTTCTCCAGATGGACAAGTGTGTTTGGCAACACTTTGCTAGTCGACTTGTCAAGATTACATCCGTTACGAGTGGCTCCTGTGGTACTCGTATTCATCACGATAACGAGGAAATACATACACGAAGAAAGATTTGCTCGAAACAAAATATCACATAAAATATAATATGAAAATCTCTGAATGTTTTAGTAAATCTGTTGACGCATCGATGTAGCAAATTTATGTTATCATTACAATGTAAATTTAATGATAATATGATAATGATAATTCAATGATAATTCAATATAATATGTTTACCTAACAAATGTAATTAAGAAAATTGCAAAATTTTCATTATCGATTGCCTCACGTCATAATAATCACTAAAGTTTATTCGGGTCCCCGGATACGTAGCAATATGTAAATTTGACGGTAACTTTACTAATCGATTATTTTATGAGTGGTTCACATGGCACTCATATTTATTTCAATAAAACAACCAAGTATAAATACGAAAAAAGTACGAAAAAAATAAACACACTTTGCTCCAGACAATATGTCATGTAAAATGCAACATGGAAATCTGAGTATAGCTTTTAGCAAATTTGTTGCTGCATCAATGTAACAAAGAATTTACATTATTGTATGTGACCTTAATGATTAATTTAATATAGTATGCATATTTATAGTTTACACACAAATATAATTGAAAAAATTATAAAATTTCCATCGTTAACTGTCTCATACGTTTTGATAATTACGGCAGTCTATCTCTGTAATTATTACCGAAATATGTATGTACCTTACTTTTTTTCGAATATTTGTTCAAGAATAAGAAGTGTATTTACATTATACTTAAAACAGGAGAAATTTACGTTCACAGAACCTAATGATTTAAAGGTAAATATAAACTTTATGATACATCAAAATTATATTATTTCATCGCGATAAATAAGTTAGATCGCAGTTGTTAGTATTCCTGCGGTCGGAGCGAATTAAATTAAAAATCGAAAATAAATCGAATTAATGTATGCACGTACGCTCCCTCTCTCTCTCTTTCTCTGTGTGTGTAAATCAACCATAGCAGCTAAACATAAATTATTCTCGCTGCCGTGTAAATTATTCAAGGAGATCAGGGCGAGGCTGAAGAGAAACGAGAGCCCATTTTAAGTTTTATTTATTTAACGCAAAGTTAGACGCTACAACTTTGGTACAAAAACATAAAATAGTGGCGTTGAGGAAACAGTACACTGCGAGCGGATCCTCGAGTCTCCGCGAACGCGGAGGGTGTGAGCGCGTTTTTTTCCCATTTGCTCTTTCTTTCTCTTGCATTAAATGATGCATCGCGTAGTTTCGTCACGGACGCGAGAAAGCGAAGAAAACGCTTCGAGTTTGACAGGTGACGGTGAGGAGAGGCGCGAGCTCGAAGAACCGCGTTCGCTATCGTACAGAAAGAACAGCCAAACGCTTTCAACGCATATATCAATCAAGCATACACGAGCGGACAACGCGCTCCGCAGCGTCTCTCAAAAAGTAACGTCGAATCCTGCAAAGAATACCACACAGCTATACGTCGACCACGCGTCGCGGGACGAGCGAACGATGAGGCTCGAGGGTGTCCGGCAAAAAGAGTACGTTCGGCAGATTACACCGAGTTCATGATGGTGTGGCGGACAAGAGAGCAGAGAAGAATGAAATGTGCTACGTGAAAGTAAAACAGTCGCTCAAAGCGGAGGGACAAGTGAAAAAAGAGCACACGGACGTAAATTCGCAGTCTTTCAGTTGCATCGCTCGATGTCAATTAATGCTCCCACTTCCGGGGCACACTTGTAAGTTGCGTTTAGCCGAGATCCGACTTGACCGATTGTCACACTGAGTCACACAAACACACGGTCTCATCTACGGGCCGAGCTTTTTGCCGAGCACCCTGGGCCGCGCTCACAACATAACGTTATCACCTGTGCGACGTCGCGGACGTCCACTTCGCTTAAGACAAAAGCTGAGCCGCGGACAAAATAGCAGCGCGCGGACGTGATCACATCACTATATATATATATATACGAATGCATTAATATCATCATTATCATCGGTATCGGCTTTGCACCGTACGTAGCTCTGGTTAGATTTGGAAGCGAGTCGAAGCGACAAAGTTTCACGGGGAACGGTAGGAAGGGACAAAGGAGAGGGACGGTTAAATGAGCGGAACATTATGGTGTGGGTACTATGAGTCGTACGAGGGTGACTCGGGACGATACGTTAATTGCGATAAAGAGCGCGATCATAATAACATATACACGAGACACGAGGCTTTTCTGCGCAGCCTTTGAAAATCACATCGATGAGTAAAGTGCGTCGGCGTGTCGAGCCGCGGCCAGTTTGTTTCGGTTTGGCAGAGGGTAGGAATTTACCTCTGCGCGAGAGCGGAGGCGACTCGCGAACGAAGCACCCTCGAAATTCTATGCGGCGTTATGCGCACTGAATTTTAATCCCGCCCGGCCGACTGGTTCCGTGATATTCGCGTAAACATGAAGAAAACGCCAATTTGCCCGGCACTATAATAACGGTGGAAATTAAATTAACTCGGCGGGAGGGAATATACGGCGATGCGTTAGAATTAATACCAAACAATACGCGCGGCGCGCTCTTATATTTATCGATAATTAAATAGATTTAATAAATTAGATTAATTAAGTTAATGGTAACAATAACAAGAAATAATGGATTACGGAACAGAGTGGGCTCCGCGCACGCGCACACGATGACGCGTGTCCGAGATATTAAAACTAAAATCTATAATGTGCTCTTTGTTTCCTGTTTCTTGTTCTCTGGTGTCCTTTTCTAGTTAAAAAGTTTAAATCAGAAAGAGATATAAAGAGGAAGAAACAGGAAGCAAAGAACACGTTGTAGATCAAGCTTAATTGTATTCGGTCCGAGGATACGGAACGTATCACACAAGCTCGTGTGATAACGCTCGCGCGAATGAATTTTATACACAGTTGCGAATCGAAAATATTGGCTCGGCCGACGTTTTTCTCGAGGATGCTTCTTCGTCCGGTCGCCCAACTGGACGTGCCGGCTCGTGCATCGCCTCGGCAAACAAATGCGACACCTAGAAATAGCTACTTACAACGTATATATATAGTGTGTATAGTTATAATATATATAATATTTATATTTGTATTTGTATATATATCTAGAAATAGTATCGTGATAAAAACGAACTATGAGACGCGGCGCCGTGACCGCGACGTCGCGCGTCGTCAGATCGGTGCACACGCGTTGCGCGAACGAGTGCGGTCCGCTTCGTTCGTTTGCTCATTCGTTCGTTCGAACGGGTAGAAAGATCAGTCGCCCGAAGCAGGACGCTTTATTCGATTCGCGCATGAGGAAACGACCGTCCCGACTTCTCGCCTCGTCGCGAAAGTACAAACGGCGCCTTCTCGCGACCATCCGTCCAGCTTATGAGCTACCTACGTTAGATCCAGCTTCTTTATTACTCGAACCGCTTACACTTGTAACGATCATCGTCGCGATATCAGTGAATAGCTTAATCGGTACGTCGGTAGTAATCAATCGAAGATTAGCACGGGGGGATAATTAGGTGTGTACAGCGGACTAAATATTTATATCATATAGGACGACAGCAAAATGTGGTGTGGCGTGTATTGCGTGTACGCGCCAAGGCGCGTATGCTGGTTACATGTTGCTTGTGAATGTATATGGCTGGCTGGTCTGCCGTGTATATCGAAGCGTTCCCTCGATGGCTCGCCGCGTTGTTCTTCCTACGGGTAGTCGACCGGCATTTCGTGTGTAACTTCGGGAGCGAGCGAGCGTGCGAGCGTAGCAACGGGGACGCAAGTGCCCCGTGAATCAATCGGATTAGCGCTCGCTTAAACGAATCGCTGGAGGATGACGGCGACGAAGAAGATGAAGTGTGAAAACGTGCCCTATGCATTCTTTCTCGCGCTCTCCGCGACATCGAGACTCAAGATTGCCGGTCGTCAAGGGGGTGTAGAGGGACGAGGAGACACAACCTTCGTTACGAAATTATAAATCGTACAGTATATGTATATAGTATATGTACGCATGTATGTATATATTGTACGCCCGCGAGGAGCGGCAGTGTGGCACAACCATGACTTAAAAAGCGACCAACTAATCTCGTGTGTGCTGTGTGTGCGTGCGTGTGTGTGTGGTATATGTATGTCTACAGGTTTGTACATGCACATGCACATGTACGTGTGTTGTGTTGTATGTATGTTTGTGTGCGTATACGTATGTGTGTGTTAATGTGTGTGTGTGTATATGTGTATATATCGTTTATATGTTATTTTTTCTTTAACACATTACACGACTTCTGCGACGATTGTAATCTAGGATTATATCCCGGATATATATCAGAAGACCCCCGTTAAACCGTCACCGTCGCCGAGAGCACCATCGCGGGTCGCGTTCCTGCCGCGACTGGGTGTCCGCGAACACAACTTCCGGGTGTTCGCCTTCCTACAGGACAGCCTCGCGCGGCAGTCGCGAGCCTCGAACCCCGCGTACACGTTCGACGGCAGCACGAGAAGCTCTATACGATTGGATATCGCCGAGAGTGTAATTCCGCTTCGTTACGTGTCGTTACTGCGATTATTTCATCGGGGAGGACATTGTCTTCGCCGAAACGCGAGGCCTTCCGCCTTATCGATTAGTAGAAAAAAAGTAAAAAAAGAGATTACGCGATTTAAGTGAACGTGTGCGAGGTGTTCCGGGGCTCGCGGGTCTTACGAACGAGGTGTAGCTGACCTCATGAATCGCTGTGCCTCCTTCGCGAAAGGGCAGTTAAGTAGAAGTAGGCAGTCTTTAGTCTGGCCTTCCCGAGTGTGCGTAATCGATTGAAACAGCTTGAAAAAGTGTATCAAAATCAAGGCAGTTCCGAATATTGGCCTTTCCGAGGACCGAATGTAAATGAACGATCGATTATGCTCGTGAAGAAATTACAAGGAAAATGGGAAAGGCCCAGGGGTGAGAGAATGAGAAAAATCGAGTGATATAGTCGTTGGGCGAAGGAAGCGGTCCCATTTCGCGAGGTAAACCATGGACCCTCGTCCGCAATCACGATCTCGAGATGATATCAACGCGCGTACACCTTACGTGGTAATCGAATCTATCTACTCGCGACGACGTTTTCTAGTTTCTATCGTAAATCGTTGCAAATTGGACCGACGACAGCACCGGGGGAAGAATTAGCGTGCGCCTCATTTCCGCGTCTCTCGGGTTTCCTCGCGGCCGCCGGCTATCGAGAGAGACGGAAAATCACGGAAGATGATTTACAGGTTACACTGCCACAGTATCGTAGGGTGTGAGGAGTCCCCCGTGACCGCCGTGGGGGCCGCCGGTTTGCCGGCCGGGAGCTTCGTTTCTGCAACAGGAATTTGCATTTTTGGCAACCGTCGCCTACTATATATCGGCTAACTCCTTTTCGCAACTGCAACAATACGCTCGCGTGCAGATATTCGATTTTGATCTGTTAGCTTGGAGCGTGAGAAATATAGGAACGTTTGTTTTTGGACCAATGATAATTCCAACTTTATACATTCTTTTTTGAATCCAATTCAATCAAGTTCTTATCAAAAGAAGGAGAAGATTCTAATGAAATTCAACCACAAAAATAAACAATGGTAAGGAATCTGAAAGAAAATGTGCGTAATTATATATAATTATACATGAATTACATATAATTTTTTTTATATGACTCATATACACATGCAATTTGGTGAAATGTGGTAATATATATGTATAATCACATATAATTATATATGTCTATATGGAAAAAATGCTTTTGAAAATGGAAAATGTAGTTTCATTTAATTAAACGTCAATATCATAGACTGCGACAAGCATTTACTTCAATTATATTTATACGACAGCATTTTTCTCTATGTAGGCATATATAATTATATATTATAATTATATATGATCATATATGGTCATTTGAGCCAAATTTCATATATGATCATTTTCTCTCGGAAAAGCTAGAACAAAAGCTATGAATCGCTGATTTTGAAGTTAACACTTATGTCAACATTTCTTCGTCATATAAATAAATATAAATACATTGAACAAAGTCAACCTAAAAATTTCGTACTCGCTTTAGATCATTTTTACATAAACGTGCAAATTTTCAAGTTGATTTTGTTCTTTTGTTCTTTTGTTGATTTAAATATATTTAAATTTATTTATGCGATATAAAGATATATTGATATAATTGTTAGCTTCAATATCAGCGCTTTGGTTCTTACTTGCTTGATTTCCTTAACATTGTTTATTTTCGTGAGCTCTTATCTCTTATTACGTATTTAGGCTTCTATAGTGTCGATAATGGATACTTGTACGAGAAATAAATCTGCACGCGAGGCGACCAAACACATGCTTACAACAACTAAAATAGCGGTGACGACAACGATACTAATATTATGGCATGAGTGAATAAAATATAAAGATGACGATTGGTATATGGAAGCATGTTAATTTCGTTAATAGCATCAGCAGCGGTGTGAATAGCGGGTTCAGTAGCGATGACAGTAGTGAAGAACAACTGCAGTGGGAATATGGTCAGCATTGGTTTTCGTGTATTTCTACCGCACTCTACCTTCGGATTAGTTAACACAGTTACGTTAAAACATAGCATTATTCACTGAAGCCACATGCAAAATACATATTATATTAATAAAGCGTTATCGATGGAGACTGGGAGGACTTTTTTCATGTCCGTAAGCAAAACACGCGTTGGAGGGTCGTCTACTCTGCTGTCGTCGCAAAAGAAATCAGGTAGCCGAGAACTTCAATGGGATGATGAAAATCAGTAATAAAATGGTGTGACGCATCTCAAAAGCTCTTCGCATGTCTTTAACACGTCAGTACATCCTGATTTGATTATGATTATGATTAACGAACTTACGGCTTCCTGCGTAATTAGTCATGAAACAAGAAAAGATCAGATGAACGTTAAACAGCTCGTTCGAAAGGCTCATCGAAAGTTGCTGGTGAACCACCGTGCACTCGATCGCCGTTCATCGACAATTCAATCGCGTGTACTCGAGCACCGTGTGAGGGTACATCGAGAATAGGATAGTGCAAGGATCAATCGCGATCCTTTGCGGAAGAACGTGTATAGATGAACCGGATCGCGGTCGAGGCCGCGCTGAGTGATCGTGAAACGATCAATTCGGAAAAAAGGTAAGATGATTATTTCATCGCGGTGATAATCAGCAAGTCGCAGCACTCGCGATCAAGTGAAATCGCTCGAGACACAGCGGCAGGCACGGTGTAACGCCATCAAACCGTTCACCGTTAACCAAGCTCACTCGCGCTCTACTGACCTCTCTATGAGTTTACGCATCTCCTCGGTGGTCATGCCGTCCTTGCTGCGAGCATTCACTGAAATAGAAAAACACACGGCACGATTGACACAACGATTAAACTACGACAACAACACGTATCATGCAATTTGTGGAAGCTTATGAACGATTAGGAAAAAAAAAGAAAAGAAAAAAGAAGTAACACATATAGTCCGCGGCGAGTCTTCTCCATTCGCGACTCGCTCGCCATGCGACACGTCCGCATAAGTGGGCCGTCGTACGCCTAATAATGCTTAGTGCGTGTAAAACGAGCAATGTAGTAAGAGCTGTGATCGGAGCGAGATAATTCTTCGAGAGGGAGCATGTGAGCCAAATCGCATAGAGTTCCTTTAGTTGAAAATTGAACACCGGGTGACTCACCATATGCAATCGGGAAGGAACGGATGGGAATGAAAGAGCAGTTGCAGTATTTCGTCATTACAGCTTCTCCTTCACTTCTATAAGAGCTTCTCTCTTGCTCGTTTCTTTCCTATTACATATGGTGGATCAAAGGGCCGATAATAAATCGATCATCGATGTCCATATTCTGACTAAAGGAATTCTAGGATCGCAGTACGGTTCGGATGGGGAAGACCCCCGACCTCCCCATCGGACCAGATCGAGCCTCGACTCCATGGTCTCCCCCTTGCTCGTTCTCCGACCTGTCACGAATCTTTCTACTGACCGCCGTAGTTGCGGTTGACAAGCTGATCGCGATCGCACTCGGCCTCGCTGATCTCGTTGCTCTCTTTGCTGTCGTTGAAGCTGGAGTTGTTTTGATCGTGGTTCCTCGGTGGCGGTGGTGGCGGTTCCGGCGAGCCTGAGACGGGAATATTGCGAGCCGAACCTACACTACGACGTCCAACCGATCCGCGAGATCCATAGTGATCGTAGGGTGCGCCATATTGTCCGTACTGTGAGCCGTATTGGTCTTCTTCGGGAGCGCAATTGGCCGGGTCGTCGTATTCAGGAGAGAAGACGTTATGAGTGCCGCTGCCACCTCCTTGAGACGGTACTCGGGAGTAGCGACCATTTTGACGAGGCTGCGGAAAACATTGAACACGATTATAACGATAATTGTGCGAAGAATGTGGCTTAAAGAGTAATTTAGTCATACAAAAATTCTTAAAAGTTCCCAGAAGAATTTTCTTAACCCTGGTAAAAAAAATTTATAAAGAACGATAGAATAAAAATAACCATTTTCTATCGTTTTGAATTTGGTTCGTGAATTTACAAAATGTGAATAGTATTCTATCGTATACAATAGAATACAATAGATAGTGATAGAATTTCTATTGTTAATTTCCTATAGAATATAAAGTTGGGTATAACCAGATAAAATACGATAGAATTCATATCTGAACTTGCGAGCATGAACGATACAGCTTAAAAAAAAATTCAAATTGATAGCGCTACAGAACATGCTAACATAACTTAACAGCAGAAATCGAGTAAGGTTTGTAAGATTTGTAGGATGTACAAAATCTGCAGGATTTGCAAGATCAATAGGATTTACAGGATCAGTCGGATTTATAAAATCTGCAGAATCTGTAGGATATGTAAGCTTTGCAGAATTTGTAGAATCTGAGGATCTGCAAGATTTACAAGATTTATAATCTATATCATTTAAATATTGCACATACATTAAATACATTATACAATATATTTAAATGGTTACAGAACGACAAATCCTGCTCGGTTTCTGTTGTCAAACTGTCATCAATTTATCATTAATCTGTCGTCAATTTGTCATCATACACTGATAGCAGATTCTGTTGTATTTATAACAGACAGTGCTCAAAATCTTTTTCCACAGATTTGGCTAACTGGATATGTACAATATGTTATATTGCTGAGTGGAAAACATTGATGTAATGTTGCTGTTAGATGATGTTTACTAGTAAATGGTTGAAACACCAACTATCATACAGTATAAGCGCTTTGATGAAATATTACAAAAGAAAAGTACCATAGATTGAGATCCAGATCGGCTATGAGCGGAGGCGTTGGTCGGATGTCCTACGGGTGGTCCCATGGTGCCGGAGTGGCCATTTCCTGGGTGGGGAAAGGTCTGGAATTGCATAGCCTTGCTCGGGTCCATTTCCTCACGGAATCCCAAAAGATGGAAAGTAGCGTACGGGCAGATCTCATCCTCCATACCTGCAAACGAACGATTATCCAGGGTAGACACTGCCGCTATGGGCAGAAAATCTATGAAACACGATGTTCTTTGACGATAAATATTGCTTTTAAGATTGCTTCTCGTGTGTAATGTCCGTTACGATAATTTTAGCCTCGTCAAGAATGAAACTAGAGGAAATAATAAGCAATCTTTTCCTTCTCTTGTTGATTTTACATGCGATTTCTAACCCGGATTTAAAAGACCAAAAAGATGTCTTTTACTCACTTCAATGTTTCTTCTTTCTTCTATTCTCGTACTAAGTGAATTCATTTTCAATAGGTAATCATGCGTTTCAAAGGTGTATTTAAGTAGACTACAGTCCAACGACACCCGATCGTCTTATCGATTAAAATCACACAGTCTTTATTTAATCAAACTACTTTCCTAATTATCTAATACTAAAATTTGTCTATACTTCTTCGTGGGTTGTAGGGACGAAATAAAAAAAAATCATAAATCGATATGACGATCACACGGGCGCAGGGACCTTCGTCTTAGAAAATATGATGGGTAAACGAATGTAACTCTAATCTAACGAATCTAACTCCTAAGTGGTTCGTGTTAATTGTCGGCGTGCTATGAGCGCAGGCATGCGAAAACGTGCAACATCGAAAAACGAGTCGTGACACGAGGCTCATGGAACGAGAGGGACTTACGAAGACCGGTTGTGACAAGCCCAGCAATGTCGCCGGCTCCGGATTATCGATCTTGTAAGGCGATCAGGCGAATGCCGGTCGCCTCGTGGACCAAAATTACTATTACCAACCTCTGTGCGAGAGACCGTCTGCACTGCCCATACGTGGTGGCGGCGGACATCTCCTGTTGGGCGCGTAGTGACTCAATTCCTCATACATGTGCCGCCTAGGATCCCACGTCGAGTGACTCCTTATAGAGCCAGTTCCACCTATCGAACACATACTACAAAGGTCGTACGACTCGCTGGCGCCTATCAAGATTCGTTCCCATCAACTGACAACCCTGCTTGCTTGGAGGACTCTGGGGAGGGTGTTGTTTTCTCTTTTTGCTTTCTTAGTGGCACGATCGATATGCGAACCGGTGCAATCGACACTCGTTAGGCACCAACGACGTGGTAAGCGCAAAACAAATATAGAAACGAACGTTATTTTTCGCTGGGGGGGACATAGGTATATCTCGGTAACGTATATAAGAACATTTCGAAGCGAGGCGAACGAAAAAATTGGCACAGATATAATGATCATGTGTACGTATGGGTTCTGTATAACATCTGAGAAAAACTTGTGTGACATATTGGTTAGAAGCCTAACATTGTGTGTGCGAGTCGACGTATCTCTTGAGAAAGAATGAAAGAAGAACTATCGTGCCGATGCGACAACAACTAGACAAGTAATTGAAACTGGTCTAAAAGGTAAAGTGTTGGCAGTTGTGGCTTACTTATAACTGTACCTCGCTTGATGCGATCGCAGGTGTTGTAGTTAGAGCCGGGTACAGGTGGCAGCTTGCGGTTAGGCGGTGCGATGTATCCCAATTCGTCGCGAAGATCAGACCTACGTTTGTCCAGCGTGGCTCCGCCGACTCCAGTTTGCTGATAGACCACATCGTCTGGAGCAGCGACGTGCGAGTAAATAAACATGGACGTGGGTCCCGATACTTTTAATCTCATATTATCACATTGTTTATGCCATCACCCACGCTTGCATAAAAAAAGGGGAAAAAAGGATTGAAATGAGATTTATCTTGCTAAAAGAATCAGGTAAGGATTGACGGAAGTAGAAATTTCAATAAAATACTATGTGACTTTATCTAAACGTATCACTTCTATCGAAAATTTCAATTCCTCATATTTCAGCTTATATAAAAAATTATCAAGTTTCTTTCGTTTTATATCGCGCGTAACTTGTTTCTAATGATTAAGGCTGCGTTCTGAAATTCACTGCCAGTACTGAAAATCTATAGTTCATGTTATGTATACTACAGAATTTCAGTATTGGCAATGAATTTCGGAACGCAGCTTAAATATTATATTAAATCATTAAGCACTTATCCGAATATACATCGCTGTCTATATAATTTTATCATATTTTACCGAAAACGCGATCCAGTTACATGAACTTTTTTTATCTAACTCTGTCAAATCTTTTAATCAAGGTTAGGGAATGAGGTAACTCGGCAGGACTTCAAGACTAGGGTGGCCGACGCGTGAATCGATCGTCAGGAAATTGTCACGATTGGATCGCGATTTTATGTCATAACACTGTGTGCTGATAATATTCACATCCACTGATCGATATCTAACCGATCAACACTGATACTTTCTCGATCGCTGTGTCCGACTAATCAAGATTGCAAGGCTCATAGAGAGCAATTTCATTTCCCGACGAACCTCCACCGTCTTTATACGATTTAGTGAGTTAAAGTAATAAAAAAAAATTGGTATACATTGTCCCTCGTAATATTTCTCGTCGGCTGAAGAGATACCTCGCAGCCGTGTTTGTTCCGGGCCTCGAGTTCTCCTCGAGAGCGCGACGCAAATGACAACTATTCCTACTATTATGACAACGACCGTTGCGCCGACCGGCACCACCACGTTTACGTCGAGCCAGCTTGGTAACCACGGGAAATAACGCCTCACGTCCGTGTTGTCGTTACCGCCGTTACGTACGGGAGGTGCGATCGTGCCTGTTCAGGGGAAGAGAAACGGACGGCAGACGGATTAGTGGGCGAAATGTTTTACCTTTATCGCCGCTGTGGCGATTGCCCCTCATGACGCAGATCACGATGACGGCAACGATTATAACGAGAACGGCTGCTACCACGGGCACGAACAAATTCAAATTAGCCATGAAAATTTTCATCGGGTCCTCATCATTGCCACCACCGTTCACGTCCGGTAGCTCGCGGGCCGGTGCAATGGTGCCTGGAACAGAAAATTTCGCCAACCGCTCAATCCAGCCACCATTGGCACCGGCTACGAGGCGCCGGCTGCGTAAGGTAAAAGTACCAATCTCTGGACCCTAATAACACTGTGGTACTTAACTCTGGACATTCTTATTGTTTCGGTCCTTAAATATTGAAACTTTCAATATAGAGAGAATATATATACATATATTCTATGTTGAAAGTTTAAATATTCGTGTTTGAAAAGCAAAACAATAAGAATGTCCAGAATTAAGTGCCAATGTTGTTCGTGTCCAGGCATTAGTACATTTACCTTAGGACTAACGCACGTACTCACCGCCAGTCACCGTCAACGTCGCGAATTCATACTCGGCTACAGCGAAACCAGCGTTGTTGTGTGCAGTAACGCGCAAATGGTACCAGCTCGCGGGGTCCAGGTCCAATACTACGAAGTTACCGCCCGGCTTGACATTGTTCGATACCTGATTCCATTCCTGCTGATGCCTGAAGAATGCGAAACACGCGCGCGTTAGTCATAGACATTGATTCACTGATCGCTTGAACTCGCCGAACGGGTTCGTTTTCTTTTAGTCTTACTTCTTCTTGTGCTCAACGACGAAATACAACATGGGGCAGCCACCGTCAGACCAGGCGCTCAAGTGCAGAGTGATGCTGTTCGTGGATACCTCGATGAATCTGCCTGCTTCGGGAATGATTGGTTTGGAGCCTTTCGTGCGCGTGTTCAGTATGTCTGAGGGATCGCCAGTTCCAATTCTGCGAAACGAAAAAATGCTGATATTAAAGCTCTTTGTTACATATACATGTGAAGAAAATTGTAGTAAGATTTACGTTGAAATTATATTTCCTTTTACAATGTCTTTGTGAAGCTGAAATTATAATATGAATTATTATGAAAATAATAAATTTATGTGACTTTTTACCGAATATATGAGGTAAGAAAGCATTCAAGTAATTATAATAATTTTATAATTATAACAACTTAAAGCTATTATAAGTCCTTACCACGCCATCTTGATTTAAAAGCGAGGAAACGCATGTTCAAAAATTTTGCAAAATATATCGAAATAAAAAAATATATCCAGAAAATAACACTAGCAATTGATTAAGCATATCTCTAAAGTATTCTAAACACTTTCCCTTTGCTCTAACAATCAATAAATAATTGTAAAATTAACATGACAAAATAATAAGAAAATGTAGGTTAAGAACAAAAATTATATATCACGTTAATTTTACGTTTATTGATTGATTGGTAGAACAAAGGAAAAGTGTTCGGACTATGTTAGAGGTGTGCTTAATCGAGATTGCAGGTGCCACTTTTAATATATCTTTTTCGACATACTTTGTAGAAATTTTTGGCATACATTTCTTCGCTTCTGACGTCATCAATCAAGAGTTCCGCAACGAAGTATCAGGAGCATTAACTTTTATAAGTAAAATCAGACATGCAAAACATTTTTAAACAAATGTATGCAATTTCAGCTATAATTTTAATTATAATTCTGTATATATAATTTCTGTATATTTAATTATAACTCTGTATATATGATCCAAAATTACTAACAAATTTTCTTGTAATTGTTACTACAATATTTTTTCCATGTATGTTAGTTTTTAGTTCTGATAGTAAAGTTACCCGTTGTATGCCGTGACATAGATCTGGTATCGTGAGCCACACCACAGATTCTCCAAGGTATATTTCTGTACTGTGGAGCCAATCTGAGCAGTTTCCCAATCGCCGAACTCAGGTTTGTAGTGGATCGTGTAACCATGGATTGGTGCGTTGTCAGTGGGATGTGGGCGCAATTTCATTGTCAAAGAGTTAGTGGTGGTGGCGGTAAGGGTTACTTGCGGTGAGTGCGGCGGAGCTGCGAATTTAATGTGACTGTCAATAAACGACGATCGAAATCAGCAGTTGGAATTTCATATCCACGTACCGTGTACGACCAGCTGATGAGTGACGGTGTCGTGGCCAAAGGAATTTTCTACATAACAAGAATACTCTCCAGCATCCGCACGATCGACTTCCTTGATGAACAAAGATCCTTCGGGCAACTGTCGCAGTCGGTCACTTGGTTGAAGAACGGCGCCTCGTACCTTCCATGTTACTTCCGGTGCAGGCACGCCAACAGTAAGGCAAGGCAATTTCACGTCTTCTTTGTACGTGGCGGTGAACTTGTCGTCAAACGATGCAATCTTGGCCGGTACTATATGAATAAACATCAGAAATATACAGTCAACCTGTGCGCATGCAATGTCGCTATTATTGAAATTTAATTTTCATATTATTTCATAATATTAAATTTCTAATTCTTCTTTCGATTTCAAATACATTTATTTAAAATACTGGACTGAAATACTTACATAAATGTATGAAAATAGATTGAAATTTTGCTAATGTAAATTTAAAGGATTACATGTTTTTCGTGAATTTAGAGAGAAAAACATGAATAAAGGGAAACGATTTAAGAGATAGTTAATTACCTCGAACGCTTGGTCCTAATGTCACGATCTTAGAAGCTTCACCTTCACCGATGTTTGTGCTAGCAGTCACCCAGAATTCATATCTGCGTTGTTTGTCCAAGCCGGATGCTTCATGAGTAAGTTGATTCGGTGGTACTTTCTGGCTGGTAGCTTCCTCGGCGTTGTCAGCTTTGGTGTAAACAGTATATTGAGAGATAACTCCGTTAGGTTGGCTAGGCGGGCGCCATGAGATGAGAATAGATTCCGCGGACATGACCAGAGCTTTAATAGCGATCGGAGCTTCGGGTGCTGAAAATAACAATAGAGAATGTAGTGCATTCGGACAAGTATTTCTTCAAAAAATTAAAGAACTCCTTAATTACCGTCTTGTTCTGTCTGACAATGGATCGGTGCGGACTTGACGCCATCTCCACCGGAAGTGAAAGCTAAGACTTGCATGCTGTAATTCGTATACTTCTTGAGGCCGTGCAGGATGGTTTCGCTGGAAGACGTAATCTTGGTATCCTTTGTGTTCTCGTCGTACCACGTGTCAGACGGTCCGTAGATGACCTAAAATAAATATTTAAAGACCCTGCTGCAAAGGGTTTACGCATCTTCCTCGATCCATGTCTTTACTAACTTTGTAACCGGTGATAACGCCGTTGGCCGCGCTCAAAGGTGGGGACATCCAGGATACTCGGATAGTCTGAGAGGTGAGAGTCGTGCAGGTGGTGTCATGAGGTGGTTGCTCGGGTACGCCTTCCGCGGTATGCTGCTTGCATTCCTCGCTCAAAGGTCCGGCGCCGACTTTGTTGAATGCCTGAATCACTACGCTATACTGCGTGTAGGTCTTAAGGTTCATGATTTGCAAATGGTGTTCCTTTCCGTCTTCCTTGGCGAACTCAACAGTTTCAAACATGTAAGGCTTGTCCGATGATTGTCTATGTCCAACGTAGTATCCGCGAATCTCACCGTTCCAGTCCTCGCGCGGCGGAGCTTTCCATATTACCTAACAATATTTACGTATTTATTTTGTAAGATAGTCGTATGGATAATAATAATTAGTAGTGTGAGGAACAACGGTAATAAATAGGAATGAATGGTTCTCTTGATACGCGACTAAAAATACGATGCTGAACTTTACAACTTTTTTAAAGTAAAATTATCAATGTCTGGACATATATTTATAATTTTGAATATTCTTGTATTGTTCTGATCTTCAAATACAAATCCGTCAACATAGAATATACGTATGTATTTAATATGTATATACATATATCTTGTAAATTTAAATATTCATATTTAAAGATCAAAATAATATAAGAATATTCAAAGTCAGGTACGTATCCAGGCATTGATACTTTTACTTTATATGTTACGAGTTCACCTTACAGTTCTGAGTCGAGAAACATAATGCAAACGTTTCCATTGTTACCTTGAGCGTGTGCTGGTCAAGAGCTTCTACTCTGACGGAGGTTGGCGGGCCGCTAGGCACTTCCTCGGCGGTGATGATGGTAACCGTGTCAGATGGATCGGATGTGCCGATTTCGTTCTCAGCGACGATGCGAAGGTGATATGTGGTTGCGGGTCTCAAGTTGAACACTCCAGCTACGTTCTGCTGCGAGCCAGGTACGAGAACTCTATCAATGTCAGTTTCCCAGGAACCCTTGCTGATCTTGTACTCAATAACATATCGCTTGATGGGGCTGTTTCCGTCATAAGGTGCGGCCCATGACAATTGCACTGAACGACCGGATTTATCCAAAACTTTGAGACCATATGGGACTTCCGGCACCTCTATAAGAACATTACACAGATTACATCGTAAATTTTGAGCTTTCATTTAGTATCTACGTGAATTACGATGTACAGGAGTGAAGCAAAGTAATGTGAACACCAATATTATCTGTATATTCTTTTTATATGTTGACTATGATAAAAGTTAGACAAGATAAAAGTTGCCTTTTGTTTCTCTTTTCATTGTCTATACTCTTTAAATTTATATATCAATGTATTACACGTTGTGTTTAGTATCGGTTAGTATGAGCAGTAAAATGAGTGACTTGTCAGACAACTTCTAAAGAGGACTAATGGTCGATATTCATTTAGCAGGAACGTCTATAGTCATAATAGCTAAGTTACTTAATGTTGCAAGAGCAGCAGTTTCTATGGTTATGACTGCATATACATAGTATGGTAAGACTTCATCGGCAAGGAAGAATAGTGGCCGAAAATCAAAATTGATAAAGATCGTTGAACACTAATAAGTATTGTGTCCAAACGATACGAAACTACTACAGCAAGAATGACAGTAGAACTCAATATTTATTTTGAAAAGAAAGAAGACCTTGTTTTCACAAAAGAGACCTTGTTTTCACAAAGAATTTCACAAAGCTAACTTAATAAGGCAATGTATTGTATTTCTCAGATGCTTATATTATTTTGTCCACTCTTTATACAGGGTTGGCAAAAAGTCCGAAAACGGTGAAATATCTCGAAAAGGATCAACTGTAGCGAAAAATATGTAAATATGTAAATATGTAAAGTTGTAGGACTTAATAAAATGTACCTAATGATGGCTAAAAATTTGACTTTGGGTGGAGGACGAAGATCATACGAAGGTCAAATTGAATTTTTTAAATTGGACCCCCCACTAGGGGGGGTTCATTTAAAAAATGAGCAACTAGGCTGGGAGCCTAAAAAACATAAACACAGGAGAAAAATAAGAATAACTTTGTTTTTCGTGTCTCGAGCTAAACGATATGACCGGCTTAGTTGTTCATTCGCTCTCATCGAACGCGGTTATTCATTCACGACGTAATATCACACGTACTCAGTCAAAACTCGCGCATATCCGCGCTTCACGATAACGCTTCTCGATCTTTGTATTTTAAAAACGAGTCGTGCTCTCTCTTACTTCTTACTCTTTGTCTTTCTTTTTCCAACTACAATTTCAAATTTCTTTTTTAAAAATGTTAACCGATAAAGAAAAGATAATGCTATTTCTTTATCGAAAATTTGGAAATCATATTAGATCATACGAAGAAGTAACTGATCTACACATTCAATGCTGCATATCCTGATCGCAATTTTATTTCTAAATCCACCGTTCAGAAGACAGTGATACGTTTTTACGAAACAGAAACAGTTAAAGACCAAAATCCTTTCAAGCCTCATAACTCTATGCCTAATAAAATGCCTAATAAAATATGCCTAATAAATATGCCTAATAAAAAAAATACTTTATTATAGGTTTTTGGAAAGCCCTTGAAATAAGCTACAAGAATATGTAATAAAAAGTGGGAGGTCCAATTTAAAAAAATCAATTTGACCTTCGTATGACCTTCGTCCTCCACCCAAAGTCAAATTTTTAGCCATTATTAGGTACATTTTATTAAGCCCTACAACTTTACTACTTACATATTTTTCGCTACAGTTGATCCTTTTCGAGATGTTTCACCGTTTCCGGACTTTTTGCCAACCCTGTATATAAACGCGTTGTAGTACACTGACCTTGTACAATCATGTTGATACTAGTGTCATCGCTACCGAAGGCATTCGTGGCTACGCAGGTGAATAAGGCAGAGTCGCTTCTCTCGGTTCGTTTGATGCTCAAGTCAGATAATACTCCATTAGCCAGGATTTCTTCACGAATAGTATAACGAGGGTCGCTCTTCGTGTCCAGCCTCTTGTTATTCATGTTCCACAGGATGCCAATTGGTTTCTCTCCTTGCGCCTCGCATTGCAGAACAGCTGGTTCGCCGCGACGTGCGGTTTGGTTTCTCAGTTTAATTTCAAATTGAGGAGGAGCTAAGGGAGAGATATTGCGAAAAGACAAATTAAATGAAACGTGTTGCTAATTGCAACAGAATATAAGGTGAGACAACGTTAAAGTACCTTGAACCGAGATAAGAATGACAGCGGACAGGCCTGATCCAATACCGTTAACAGCCTCGCAAAGATAATAGCCTTCGTTCGTCTTTTGGATGTTATTAATAGAGAGGGTACCATCTTCCACACTAATGTCAGGGTTACTCAATTTCAAGTCAGTATAATCTCCCGGCGTATCCCCTGCAAAGTAGAACAAACGTAGTTAGTGCACGCGAGTGGAGAAATTCGTTATTTGTCAGGCCACAGTAGTAAATGTACTCACCAGCAGCTCTCTTCCACGTGACCTGAGGCTTGGGGAATCCGTCGGCTTTGCACTCGACTCGTGCATCAGATCCTTGAGCAAATGCCTTATCAGTGGGTTCCAGAATCCAACGAGGCGGCACTGTTACAGAATAAATAGATTAGTCGCGATGCACTTCCGCGTGACACGATATTTTGCAATATCCGGGAGCCAGTCGCTCTGCTAATTTGAGTCGTTCATACTTACGAAAGTTCGAACAATTTTATTATCAATGATAAAATCAATGTATATCAACCAAAAATTAAATATAAATTACCACATTCTCTAAATAGATAAATAATTATTTTATATTTTTGTATATAAATTCCATGAAATCTAAAGCATTACAATTGATAATAATCAATTAATAATAATCAAATGTAAATCCGTTATATGTAAATCGATTTAATTTTGCTAAAAAGTTTAGATAAGAACTTCGAGTTAGATTATTAACTTTCAAGTTAATAAAATTGCTGATTAATAATTGTATCTACAACGATTATACTTTTATAAAATTGATATAGACTCGAATTATGGCAGCGAGTTTTGACGCATGCAGGACAAAACGCGACACGCTCCCGCTACTGCGATGAATAGAATGTAATATGGCATGCAGGTTTTTGAAATGATTATGCGGGTATCTAATGATATGAACAAAGAGAGTATGAGTGAAAGAGAAAGATGGAGAGAGAATGAAAGTAGAAGGAGAGAAAGAGAAAGAGAGAAGTGAGATAGAGTGACGGAAGAAAAGGTAGAACGAGAAAAAAAGAGTGATATAAGTAGTTAAGCAGAGAAAGAGACTACGGATTTCGCTCAGAAGGAGCCTAATAACAACGAGCATGCACGAAGCGCTGTCGAATTAGTTACTCGAGCACGGTGTATCATGCTATACCGCGTTTACGAATAATACTCGATTACGCTTATCCAATTATGAACGCATGCATATTAAGTGTCTACACTACATACGCGTACTACAAAATGAACAAGGCAAGACGTGTGATAAGGTGAAGGGCCGGGGAGAGGGCGTGTTGGGGGAGTTCATTCGTGGACAGGGTTGATGAATTCATCGAGGGCTATTCTGAGATGTGGTTGGATGGTCGGTCGGTCATCTTAGAACAAGGACGCGTTTCAGCGCGATGGGGGTACGGTGAGGTATAAATCGACACTCGAACGTAACGAGACGAGAAACACGCAACTCACATGTAAGACCTATGCAATCCTGCGAGCGCGAAGTAGCATTAGGTCGTTTGTGTTTTTGCGGAAACGGCGAGCGCGTATATGGAGAATATAACGCGCGATCAGACTCGCGCGTGTGACAGGGGAACGGTGTCGAAGCCAACGAAAAAATGTCGCAGAAGAGCGGCTGACGACGACAGCGAGGTAAACGAGGCGGGCAAAATAAAAGCTATCGATTGTCGAAGCGGACGACCTCGTACTTTTGATGTTCGCTTATTCGCTCGCTTTTGAAAATCGGCGGGTTCACACAGCGAAGGAGGGTGATTACAGCAGTGAGAAGTAAACGTGGATAGACAGAGAGACAGATTACAGAGATAGTAGAGTATGAAAAAAAAGTGTGTGGCAAGACAGTGGGAGAAAGAGGTACGCGCGAGAAAAGTTTACCGGCGACGGAAGCAACGCGCTGCGTAACAAGTCGAGTTTCGCGCGAGCGCCGAACCAACTGAAATATCCAGAAAGCTTTCGCCAACAGGGAAAAACACACGATCAGCTTCAGCAACGGTGAATAAAATGCAACCAATCAAGCCTGCGCTCAAATACTCTCGCGGGGCCTGCGCGGGGCTGCTTTATATTGTTCTCATTCCGAAACTTCGCTCAACCATCATTATCATTAATCATTAGTGCCATTCTCAGTACTCCGTTCTTTACTCTGGACCTAACCGTGGACTCGTAAGGTTGCCTCGTGGATCGCCCTGCCGGACGGATTACTAGCGATACACGCGTAACGTCCGCCATGCTCCGGGGTTACCGGCTCGATCAGTAGTATACTCGTCCGTGGGCCGAGTTTCCCGATGCTGTATCCCATGAACTGCGACAACGCTTCGCCCTCGTGGGTCCAGGCGATCTCGATCGGGACGTCACCGACCGGCACCATGCATGCCAATTGGGCGGCCTGCCCGGCATAGATCGGTCGGTCTCCAAAATCGAACGGACTGATCCGTGGCAGGACTGCAACGGAACGGTAGGTAGATCCATGCTCGTAACGATCCTCTCCCCACGATCCTTCGCGATCGACACGAACGGCTCGACCGTCAGTCAGTTTATTCGTGCGATTCGTCCTCTGTAATCTGCTGTTCTGTGTTCCGAGAATCTACGGCCTTGCCTTGTCTCTGTCTCATTCAGCGCTGTTGTTAACACCGTCTGTGATCACGTACGACGCACGCGATAATTCGCAAATGATCTGGTCAGTGAACTGAATTAATCACGTGGAATAATCGAGATCAACCCTCCGACGGAGTCGGTGACTGATGCTGTGGTACTTCCATCACCGTGCTACCGAGATGAGAGAAAGGGATGCGGAATGACAGAGTGTATGGCAGAGAGTGACTGTTTTTGGACCGGGAAAGAACGGGAGACATGGTTCGTCTCGTAATGCCGACTGTATATTCGGGTCTAACATCCGGAACACGTCACGAAGTAAGTCGTGAGCACAAACTACGCTCGCCTATGCGAACCAGCTAAACGATGTAGTCTCGTAACAAGGAAGACAACTGTCTATATAGTAGATAGAAAGAAACAATATGCGTCGAGCAATGCAGACTTCCAGAGGCACACACATCTTTCATAATATCATCGCAACAGTCAGGGCAGAACAAGATTGGAGATATTACGACGTATAAACGTAGAAGCGGCAGCAAAGGTTCAGGTCTAACATATCGAACGCTACTTGATAGATAAAAATACACAGGTACGTATACGTATATATATGTATATATATATATATATGTAATAAAACTACAACCGAATATAAAAGGGTAAACGTACCACTGCTTTCCGCTCAAATAGTAATACGCATACAAAACGGCTGTACTCTACGCGTACGCCCGTTAAACACCATCATCATGCCGCGGTTTCGCTTTGTGTTAACATTCGAGTAGTCGCGGGCACCTGTGAGGTGCTGCTCGACTTCATTTTAGTACGGCGCGGAGTGGGGGTTTAGAGAGATACGCGCCATTTGTCCTATCTCTCCTGTCTCCGTAGAGCAATGCACGCTTGCCTTCCGCAAAATTAAAGCTGTTTTTTTTCTAGATGTTGCATTTTCCACATAATTTTAATACAATGTTTAATGAAATTTCTGCTTTATTTCAATGTTTCCACAAAGTCTAAGGGTCATAATGGTCAGAAAAATTATGTTTAAAATGTGGATTTTCTATCAAATGAATGAACGTCACCTCTCAGGTGACCTGCGACCATTTTTGTTCCACAAAGAACCGCGCCAAGCGGAAGGTTAATAGCTTCATTTCTTTTTTCAATCATTTTCTGTTTTTTTTTCGCTGGATGCTTGTGATCGTGTGTTCATTTTCTCTGTACCGTTCACTTTCAGATGGGCGCTATGCCTAGCACGGCCCACTGGATTATCGGCGACGCAAGCATACTCCCCGGCGTGCTCTCCCCTGACAGCGGGGATCGTCAGGGCCGAGACTCTTTCCCCCAACGCGGTGATACCCACTCCGTCGCCTACTTCTAAATGGCGGCCCTCGAACAACCACTTGAGCGAAATCGGCGTGTCCCCCTTCACGACCGCGCAATGGACGATTATCAGATCGCCGGAGTTGGCCTCGTCGAACGCGAACGGCTGCAGATGTGGAGCGACTGCCGAGAGATAGAAGACGGAACAAATGCTAGAGATAACAGGCAATAAGAGAACGAGACACGCGAGCGAGAATGAATGAACATCCCGCTTATCATCAGGGCAAGTTCGCCGCGAAATTCGGCGCGATACCGCTAGGCAGCAGCGACACCGCCAGGCTTGGCTGATAATCGTGACGGTCTGCTCTCGTGTCTGATCGCGTCGCGCAATAATGGCGGACGCAATTTGACCTTAGTCTTCTTAAGGGCCCGGTAAGAACGCGCGATAGATATTTGAGCGGAAACGTTCAAACGAGTGTCTACAAGGGTCAAGCGGTTGGCCTGGGACAATGGGATGGGATTTGCTCAGGGGGATTCGCAGGCCTGAATGAAATATCGAGAATAGATCCTTGGAGATCAGTATGCACCGTTCACAATGAGATCGGCCGAGAGCTCATGCCTGCCGGCAAGGTTTTCCGCGATACACGTATACGTTCCAGCATGAGTCGCCTGGACGGATCCTATGCTGAGTATGGCGCCACGTCCGCCCAGATCCACGATCGAGATTCCAAAGTGCGGCGAAATCGCATGACCGTTTAAGGTCCAACGGAGCTTCAAGGGTGCATCGCCCTCGACCACTGCGCATGGTACCGTTACTACTTGACCCGAGTTAAGCGGCTCCTCGCCGAACGAGAATGGCAATAATTTCGGAATGACTGGAAGAGAAAGAGACAGAGATCAGAAAGGGAGAGAAAGAGTCTACGTTGAAGCCACGATAGAACGATTTTTCAGTTCACGTCAAGAGGTCGTATCACATCCCACGAGACGCTCTCGATCCTAGTTCGCCGTTTGTCCCTCCTTCGTTTCCTCTTGCTCCCGCTTTACGATCTGTGTTTTATTGTGCGTGAATGTGTTGCGTTCTTGTGCTGCATCTCCGACGTCGAATATTCCGACGCGATGTCGATCAACGTAACGAAATCCAAAGAAAGAATAAGTGTGTGTAAACTAAGATGACGTAAGAGAAACGTAATGTGTCCAATGAGATCGCATTCGACGGCGGCTAAAGTGACAGTGACGGTCTCTAGAGAACACAGACATACGTCGTGCTGCAAATAATATAAAAAGCGAGGGAACGGATCGCAGGTCTCTGCTCCTCAAGTAAAACGCAAACTCAGACGAAAGTAAAACACACGATGGGGAATGAAAACACGCAACCGGAATGAAAAATGGTGAGACTCGCAGGAATGATCGCCAGGCTCGGCAGGATGCAGGATTGTTTGGGTGTTAAACGGCTAACG